GTAGGGAAAAGAAAAAGAAATTTGGGCATTTTGAAATCTAAAGCACAGATTACTGAGGTTAATAGTTAAATCTGTTTATTAGTTTTAAACATATACTTTGTGAGTTGCCCGTTAAAATAAGTCAGGTGGAACCAAGAAACATAACTCAGTTATTCTTCTGATCCAGAAAAGGAAGTGCTTTTATAAGGATTTTTTTCTAACATGGAAGGTATTTTATATATTTTTTTTTAAAGGAAAGAATAAGCATCTGCTGCCAATTCATTTAAGACATAGGAGATGAGAGCCTTTCCAAAAAGGAGAAAAACAGATTCATTGAAGAACCCACGCTAAAATGAGTAAAGCTAATTTGAAGGAATCCCATAGTATTTTCCTCAGCAAGTAGTTTACATCACACCAGAATGTTAATGACAAAGCAATGAGCTGCTTTAATAAAGGCAGTGATCGGTTTTAATATATATGATCCTTAAAACATTGAAACGAAATCCATTCTTTTGGGAGAACATTTACCAGTAGTCCATAAAGATTCCAAATCTAATTATTTAAGAGGCACTTCTGCTTTGTATTTTCTAAAGTTTCTCCTTAGGCTTTTTCTTCCTTCCTTTTTTCCTCCTGAGTGATATGCCTCTCAGAATTTTCACAGAGTTGTCTTACTTATGTCTTACTATGAAGTGCAGTTAACTCTGTCAAACACATTTGCTGCTGCTGTTCATGGGAAAAGCAGACCACTTAATGTGTGAGTAGTAGGAAGCAGCTGTTGAAATTTAAAGAGATAAACCTCTTTGTGAATGGTTTCTGTAAATAAACCTTACTCTAGAGCAGTACACGTTTCTTGAGAAATGGAGCCAAGTCAAATTCATCTACCACATAGTGGTGGCTCACACAAAATAGAGCTCAGTAAATGTTGAATTCAGTCTTGCATCATATGACAAAAATGATGATGATGATAACAAAACCCACAAAAATATCATCTGTAATTTGTATGCTTACTAGGTGCTAGGCACTATACTAAGCATTTACATGCGTCGTTTCATTTAATCCTCGAGAAAGCCCTGTGAAGTTGGCATTATTATTCCCACGTTACAGATGAGGAACTAAGGTTTAAAAGGTTAAGTAACTTTGGCTCAGAAGGATTAAGTAACTTGCCCTAGGGATCACCCGGCTAGGAAGGGTAAAGCCTAGATATTAGATTAGATCTGATCTAAGTAGCTTCACTTCCAGAAAGACAGTGGTACAGTGACTGTTATTTTACAAGGTGTTGATGAGGATTAAAGGGAGTGGTCTCACTTATTCTGGACTTATTCCACATGATGAAAACTACCTACTTTGGAAGAAAATTATTCTATAATATTAAATGAGTGCCTCCCAGGTATTTGATTGACTTGCCAGTTCCTTCTGCTGATTCTGTAAGAATCCAGTAGGAGATATTTCACAGGTAGAAAGACAAGTAACATTTGAACTTTCAATACTAAGCAACTTAAAAAAGTATAACCTGCATTTCAGGGGCTTTTTTCTCAAAAGTTTTTGTTTATTTTATTCAAGGAAGACTTCCATAAAGGATCCTTGGCAGATAGGCAGGCAGGAATTTGTGATGTTGTCAGTGGTCCTCCAAGCTCCTTTTCAGTTACCCTCCAAGTCCTTGACTATTCTCCCATATTATGACCAACATACTAGCTAAACCAATTGGCATTTGGAAAAGAAAATCTAAATTCAGTGTGAGTGGAAGCCAGGGGAGAATGTTTAATCTAGTTAGTGGGTGGGCTTTGGTTGTCATGGAAACTCAACTCTGTCATCCTGTGTTGTTACTAGGCAGGAGCAGCCAGGTCATTCCCTAAATCATTTCTGTCATAGCTGACAGTGATGCATTCCATCTGCTCCATCACTGCATGCCATAGTCTGCACACTTCAGATCCCTTCCTTCAATACATCTCCTGCCCCACTCTGCACCAGACACCTCCCCCAAACACATTCTTTCTCTAACTTCCATTACAAACTCACATTCACTTTAGTGCTCTTAGAATGTCCTGAAAAACAGACAAAAAAATACATTGGGGATAGGAAGGATTAGAAGAGATGGGGAGAAGGAATTTTATGAGGATTACATTTGAGAGTCTGACATGTGTCTCAGAATTTGATGTTAGGTATTACAGATCTTTGGAAATGGTGACCATGAGTATTTGAAATTTTAAGTTCTATAGAATGTGACATTTTAAATACAGCATCTAGGTTTATGTGGAGAAATGCCATGCTATTGTCATTAGAAGTTATTTCTAATAGCTCCCCAAATGTCTGATATATGTCTTAGATGGTCTTTCATGTGTGAAACAGAGGTTACAACCTTTGTTCTTCAGTTTATGTATTAAAAAGCACACAGAATACTGGGTGATTAAACATGTAAGGCCAGATAATACATTCGCAAAGGTTCCTTTATTTTAGGTTTAAGCCTGGATAATTGTGGTCTTAATCTCAGGATAGCTAGAAAGAGAATTGTACATGAAAGTATTTACACAAAGTTCCCAAAGCCCTATGGATTATGCATTAGTTTAGATAATAAACTGGGGTAGATAGAGGGATAGGAGAATCTGGATATTCATGCCATTTCTGTGTTTCCCTGAACGTCTGCCAAACAATAACCCTTTAAGATTGTGCCCGTGGAGAGTTATATAGAGAAGAAACATCTGGTTTATTTCAGTGCCTAATACCATATCAAAACACTTGGTCTTTAATTTAGAGGAGATCAAACAAGAAGACTGTTGAACTTTGTTGATTATATCAGACTTCTTTGTGATAATTTATGTTTTGATTTCTACCTCAGAGCAAAGGAAAGGGAGAGAGAGTATGTGTATGTGTGTGTATTGTGTATGTGTATGTGTGTGTATGTTTTAATCTAGATAGTTAAATGGTCAGTAGTCTCTAACAAAAGAAAAGAAAATTCAGGGAAGTTGATGTTTAAAAGTAATTCATGAAATAAGTTTCTTTGTTCCTTAGACTCAATAACATTAGCATAATAAAGATTAACTGAAATGTGCACTGTAGTGTTTAAAAAATTGGGCTCGCAGTTCCAAGGTTGGGCTTGGGAGCACTCCATTGTTTCTTTTTTGTCTGAAGCCCTTTTCATTAGCTTCTGGCTTATTGGCACCCTGCTGATTGGAATAGACCATGACTGATAGGAGGAGGAGCCTCATTTGTTGCAGTAAAATGAGGCATATTACCGTTTAAGCCTGGCAGAAGGTATTGGGAGTTATTCATCATTGGTCACTTAACAGTATGAGGACCATGGACGGCATGTAGAATGAGTTCTTACTTTGTGTTTAGGCTCTAGATTCTAAATCACTCCCATCCCCATTTTTTAAGTAACTGATTTTTTTTCCTTCTCTTTTTTTTCTTTGAAACATCTATGTTAGGAGTTCTTTAAGGTCAGAAAGTACAAAAAGTAATGTATTCCTGATTTAGAATGCTCTTTGTCAAATAAAGCCTTATGTTTAGAATTTCTTAAAGTAGCAAAACAGTTTCTATAGAATAAGTATAGTTTGTATGTCATTTGGTAATAGAATAAATATGCAGAAGTGAAGTTTAATGACATGATCTGTGATCTAAAAGGCTGTATTATTCTGCTCTTTTAATGTTGCTCCCTTCCCACATACATGTTCTTTTTATGAAAGTAAAAGGGACAAGAAAAAGTCCTATAATTTGCCAGGCTATCTGTCAGTTCAGGAAAAGTATTAGTAACAATTCTGTCTGTCATCACTTTAATTTAGGGCAAAATAGAACCAGGGAATGTGATGAGTGAGTGGAGAAAACACCTTTTATTACACAAATGGAGAAGGTGCTTTTGATAAAAACACCAGAAATTATATGTTGATATGCTTTTGGTACTGCTTCTCCTGTTTTCACAGTGATTTTTAGGAGCCCACACCCACTTTATATATAACATCATTCTGCTTAGTCATTGCAAGGTAGTCATTGCAAAATGACTCTAAAGTATAAACTTCCTTCTTTGAGATAAAGAAGTTGTCACCAGTCCTTCACGTGCTTAAGGATTATTTAGCTGTAATGGCAGAGTTATCAGGGAAAATAAGGGTTGATAGCCTGCTTATATCCTCAAAAGCCCATACCTGCCTAATGATGTGGTATGGACAACTTAGTACATCAACACTAATTCTCAGAAATATTGGAACCTTACCATATTGTTGTTCTCAAAGCTTATACCATAAAATTGATTTGTAAATGAATTCATCTTTATAATAGTATCTTTTTCTCCCGTTGGTATTCCTGTTACTGAACCCCACTATATAAATGCTGAGATAAACTGCTATTTACTGAATTCTGCTTTTTTATCAAAAAGTATTGCAGCGAATTTCAAGTGCAATTTAATCGCTCAAGTTGTTTTTTTTTAAAAATATTCAGCACCTGCTTGTGCAAAACAGTGACAATGATGAATTCAGTGTTGAACAGTATAAGGTCCCTGCTTTCAAAGAGCTTACAGTCAAGGAGAGAAGATAGAAAAGTGGTAACATAGAGCATAGTGTGAAGTAAAATACTAAAGAGAAGTAACAGGTTACACTAAGAATATAAGGGAAGTGAAAATGAGTGTAAGTGGGGAGGTTACATTTGAGTTGGGCTTTGATGTGTTACAGAATTCCATCAGGGAGAAGTTAAGAAACAAGCCTTTTGCAAGGACAAGCTGTGTTCAGAATATCAAAAAATATTTTGTTTGATATAATGTTTTATGTAGGTTATAAGGTAGAAAGATATTTTTGTAACCAGATAATGGAATACGTCAAATGTCATTCTGTTTTATTTAGTAGACAACAGGAAGTGCTGTATGGCATTTGTTCAAAACTGGTTGAGGACAATAGCTCAGTCAATTATGTATGGGATGAAAGGAGCGGGGAGTAACTAAAAATATAAAGACTTAAATAGTCCAGCCATAAGTTCTAGTAAAAGTTTAAGGTAGTGTAATGGCAGTGAGAATGATGTATGCCCATCCCAGAAACATTATAGAGAATTGTGAGCATTGGTGTCTATGGTGGGAAGAGTGGAGGAGCAGGAGAAAGGAGGGGAGAGTGAGAGTGGTTTTGGTGACCAGGAGAATACTAGTGCTAACTGAGATAGAGGAAACAGAACAGTAGAGATGGGAAGGGTGGGAAACTTGGGGCAGTGATGCAAAGTTTGGGTTTGGACATACTGAGCTTGAGATGAAAGAAAGATATGCTCAGATGGAGAGGTCCAGCAACCAGTAGGAGGATAGAGGTGTCAACTTAGGAGTCATTCACATGGATGTCATAGTTGATACTTTATAAAGAATGGTATTACAAAGAGAGGAAACACAGGTAAATAGAAAAGAAAACTGAGACTGGAGCTCTCGGAAAACCTACATTAAGTGAACTGTATAAGAGAGTAAAAGAGAGAAGGAGCCTGGGTAAAAATTATACATCCAAGGATTAAAAGGGATACTCAAATGCTAACTTCTTTCAAGGAAGATATCATTCATTCTTTCAGCAAGTATTTATTTACCAGCACTGTTGTAGAATCAGAAGCTACTGCAGTTGCTGTGTAATTCACATTGGTCTGAATAAGACAAAGTCCTTGCTCTTCTGGAAAGTGCATTTCATTAGGGAAAAGGGTGAAAGAGACATATGATAAACAAGTAAACAAATTTAGGCAATTAGGGATTAATGTAAGCAGTATGAAGAAAACAAAGCGGGAGGTATGATACACAGGGAATGCTGTTTCTCCAGTGCTTTCATGCAATTAATTCATACGGTCAAGGAAATTGAAAATCAGTAAGTCTAGTTTATGATAATCAAAGTTTTGCATGGAAATGGAGCTTCTTTCACTCCTCAGCCACCCACCATCAGTGTTATCAACCCTTCCCTCCCTTACCAGTATTATAGTCAAGACATATTTCATATGTTAGCATCAGTTGTTCATAAAAGTTACAATTATTTGAATCATAAACATGAGAAATAGTGATTTACAAAAATAAAAGGGTATGTTGAGATATGTTTTTGTTGAAGTTCGGTGACGTTACCTAACTTACTTATGGTTGAAATAAATCACTGTATGCGTGCAAGCCATTAGGAACCAAAATGTGACATTTAGCTAATTTTCACAGGTGTGAAAAGTAACAACTTTTAAAAGGTAACAATTTTGACAACTTTAAGACCAACAACATTGATCTTACAGCATACTACTTCCCTATTACTAAGTCTTCCCATAAAGTTATTTGAAGTCTTCTTGATAACTGTGCTTTTCTAAAATGACTCTCCAACCTGGGAATTCCCTGGCGGTCCAGTGGTTGGGACTCGGCACTTCCACTGCGGGGGGCCTGGCTTCAGTCCCTGGTCGGAGAACTATGATCCCGCAAGCTGCCTGGCGTGGCAAAAAAAAATTTTTTAATAAAATGAAATGACTTTCCAACCTGAATATACAACTTTTAGATCTGGCTCTTTGGAAAGAGTTGGTGTGTAAAGGGATTTCCAGTTACAATTTAGTAACATCATACAAATTGGTGTAGATATACTCATTTGTAGTCAATGCTTACAATTTAATTGGTGCTATCTTCTTTTTTTAAAACAAAATGAAAGCTGTTAATGTTTGATGTTTGTGACCTGTAGAATTTTGTTTTACGTGGGCCTGTCCCAGTATCTGACTTTTTCAACGTATTATACTGTCTTTAAAACCAGTGCTGAGACCCCATATATGCCATAATTTGGGCCTCTTTAAATTTATTAGAGCTCTAAACTTACTCAGAGCAAGATTATTTCTATTGGATGACACTTTGCACCCACAAGTAGTTTTCCTATTTAAAATATTTGACCACAGTTTCTCCAAATAAGTTGATTTGTCTGCCCTAAGTGCTGAGATGTGAAGATGATTTATGATGCCTGTTATAGGAATGGGATTGTCCTAGAGAGGAGTTCCTAGGAACCGTTGGTGCGTGGATTAAGGAGACTTTTTAAATGTTTAATGGTTAATTATGTAAACTTGAATGAATTTCTGTCACTATGTTTTTTAGCAATATGAAATAAATATAAAGTGTTGCAACAAAACCTTTAGCCAAAATACCAAAATTTATGCATCCAGATATGTTACCTCTTAGGAAGTAAAGTCCACAGATTATTTTGGGAACATTTTTTTAAGAACTTTCAGGGTTTTTTCACTTTCTCCAAGGGTGACGAAATATCCTTTGAAAACAAGTTTGATTTTTTTACAACACTCACACAACATTAGGAGCTAAATTTGGCAAAAATGTAGTTACTCAAACAACTTCCTAAAAGAAATAAGGGGTAACTATTTTTAAAAATCACTTTCTTTGACTTTTAAAACTATTTTTAGGACTATTCTCTTCAAAAGATAACAGTTTCCTAAGATTATTTTTAATGAATAAAATTTATTTAGATGGTATATTCTAGAAAGATTGTTTATCAGACTTGACTTTATAGTCACTTCTCTTTTTTATCACTTCTCTTTTTTGTTCTAGCAATTAGAAATTTAAATTACTTTCAACTAGGATAATAAAGAAATAGGTATGATCTATTTATTCCTCTCATATTAGAATATATATGATACTTTTTAATCCGAGTTTTAAAACTGGGGCTTCTATAGCCTTTATGCAATAGAATAGTTCTAAAATTGATTAAACAGTTTTTCACTCTGAGCCTTAAGGATGGCAGCTTAGATTATAGAAATAACTCCATGCAAATGGATTTATATTTTTGCTTTTGTCACACTGATATGTGCATATCTTTTGTTTTCTGGTTAGATTTATTCTCCTGACCATACCAGCAGTAGTTTTCCATCAAATCCGTCAACACCAGTTGGATCACCCTCACCTCTCACAGGTAAGCTTTTGTTTTATCTAACTACTTGATAACATGCATGGGGCTACTTGGAAATATTTGAAGTTTATTTTTCAATAAAATATAGTAAAAACTCATACCAAAAAAATCATTTCTATCCTGAGAAAACATGTAAACAGAGCCTTCTCCTGAGTTCATTTTGGAGAATATTGAAGTGTTTCCTGTTTGAATTATGTGTTCATATCTTCTCTGATTCTTAAAATAATTTGTGATAATTTCTAAGAACAGTTATTATAACAGGATAAAAAATAAGGCTAAACAATTGGGATGAAGGTAAAATATAGAGAAGGAGATGAATCAAAAATTTTGATAAGCTAACATAGAAAATAAAATAACCTATTTAGAAGTACATATAACTTCTTTCTTATTCTCTGCATTTTCCACGTACCATGTATAAGACTCAAATGAAAAACTCTGCACTAGTTTGTCTTTATTTTTAAGTCTACTGAGTTATTATTTCATATATATATATAAATTCTTGGGGATAATGTAGTTTTTTTTTTTGCTAAAGAAAAGAACTCTTGGGCTTCCCTGGTGGCGCAGTGGTTGAGAGTCCGCCTGCCGATGCAGGGGATACGGGTTCGTGCCCCGGGCTGGGGGGATCCCACATGCCGGGGAGCGGCTGGGCCCGTGAGCCATGGCCGTTGAGCCTGCTCGTCCGGAGC